CCCCCATAGACAATAGAGATTCTTGAAGTGCGTTGTTTATATTTTTTATTATCTTTAATTTTTCTGAAAGATCTGAAATCTGATTTGTCATATGTGTCTGACCATGTAATACGATTTTCTTTCTGCAGCGGCTGTATGGGAGATGCTGAGGCAACTGCGAATTAGTCCATGGTATGTTGCAAAGCTCACTGTTTTTTTGTTTTTTTTTGTTGTTTTTTTTGTAGGGGAGGGGGGGGGCTGAAGGCGTGTTAATGTTCATGAATTGGGAAATACTCTTATATTTAAATGGAAAGTAATTACGGATTTGGTTTGGGACAGTTCCTTCCTTTTTTACATGTGAGCAGGCCAAGTCCTGTACTGCTGAGGCTTGTTTTAGCACCAGGCACCACCCCAATTAGGATATAAACATGGTACTTTTTAGGGGATCCTAAAGGGTTTAGGCACTGAGACAAAGCTAGGAGGTGGGGGAAGAATGTGGGACCTGATCACCCATGGGTCTACATTACAGATCCCACTCCCTGCTGTTGGTCTTGGGGGTCTATATTACAGATTCCACCCCCTGCTGTTGGTCTTGGGGGTCTATATTACAGATCCCACCCCCTGCTGTCGCTCTCAAAAACATATGCACTGAGATTCACCTGCAGTGAATGTCTGATGTACTGCTTTATAAATATGCCCCAAGTGTTTTGGAGGGGAAAATAAAAAACCGATGGAGAAACCGTGCAAGTAGAAGATTGAAATTAAATAACCCAACTCCATCATTATTTGTTCCTTTTGAATGTAAATATATTCCTCGAGGGCCACAAAGTGGATATAAATCCACTTTGTGTTCCCAAAATGCCTTTGCGCACCCAGTTGTCAGTGACCTCGCTGTGCTGCACATAGCCTAAGCAGAGCTGTAGGAGGGGCCCATCAGGTTCAACCTACTACAGGCTGCCTACAGGAGGGGGCGGAGACCAAACTATTCACCCTGCACAGGGAGAGAGCAGCAGTGAGCGGTCTTTATTACAGGAGGGGGCGGAGACAAGACCAGTCACCCTGCACAAGGAGAGAGCAGCAGTGAGCGGTCTTTATTGCAGGAGGGGGCGGAGACCAGACCCATCACCATGGACAAGGATGTGGGGTGGCCCGGTTACCGGATCGTAGAAGTGATCTGGTGGCAGCTGAGCCGCCAGAATCGTTTCTACTGTAAAGCCGGCCGCTGGCTCTACACGACGGAACACTCGCCACCGGGAGTCTGTGTAACCCCTTCAGACTTCGTGATGGGATTATCCCGTCATGGGTTGTGAAGGGGTTAATGTATTCATCTTTCTTTACAGTATAGGTGAAATCTTGCCTAGATCTGTTTTTTGTCGCTTATACAGTACAGCGTTCTGCTGTGTTCATTGTAGTTGCCTTCCTATTTGTTTTAAATCCAGCGAGAAGCACGATCAGTTTGGAGATGTGAAAAAACTTGTGACCGATGAATTCGTCAAGCAAAAGTAAGTGTTTCTGCATTGTTAGGCCTTCTTAGTAGGTGAACTGGTGTGATCAGAGCAGCTTGTGTTCAGTAACTCTGCTGTTTACAGCACACCACAGAGTAACATGCAGTCCTTCTGCCGGGGTTCAGTAGGGAATCCTGGAATAGGGAACTGCATACACCTTTTGTCCTTATTGGCAGTGCACAAATACTATTAACCCCTTCATGACTGAGGCCTTTTTTTTCCATTTTTTTGTACCCATGTTATATTCCACATTTTAGGCCGGAAAATTACTTAAAACCCCCCAACATTATATATTTTCTGAATGCCGAGACCCTATAGAATAAAATGGTGGTAGTTGCAAATTTTTATGTTGCGCAATATTAGCGCAACTCCTTATTAAACCCCTGGTGGCCTTGTGGAACCGGGGCGGCAAGGAGAGTAAATCCGGCCCTGCCTAAATGACAGGGACACTTCCTATTTGATGTCCATTGGCCAGGATCCAGAAGGGGACCTCCGGTATCGGGCACCATCACACTGAGCGGTTCTTTATTCTATCAAAGTACAAATCAGACGCCACCTTGCCATGAATAAACCTATTTTTCTGCCCATTCCAATCCTCGCGTGTGCTTTTGACTCGTTACAACCAGAACACGTCCTGCCGGAGATCCTTTCATTTCACAGCCTTGTTCACAGACTTTCTTTTTCTCTACTATAGATATCTGGAGTATAACAAGATGCCACATACAGATCCCACAGAGTATGAATTTCAATGGGGTCCGAGAGCGCTGAAAGAAACCTCCAAGAGGAGCATCCTGGAATTTGTCTCCAAGGTAAAGCCTTCTGTCATCTCTCAGCCTGTTTTCAGGTAATCAAGTCTTATTTATCCACAGAGGAGGAATTAAAGGAGAACTATGGGGGTCAGTGTTTTTCCCCATAGTTCTCCTTAGGGTAACAGGAGGACACAAACTAGCGTCCTCCCGTCACCCAAAGCTCAGTATACCGCGAGCTTCCCAGCCAATGTAACGGCCAGGCGGCAGGTAATGACTCGCCTCCCGACTTCTTTTTTTAATATTTAGTTTTTATTAACATATAATTTTAAGACAAAACAAATACAATACGTACAATACGATTACTTGACATTCCATTATATTACAATACATTTGCAGTATTTTACTTTAGGCCAGGGTGTATTCTCTAAGTCTACTGTATTGTAAGTAAATATCTATGCTTCAATCATTCGGACTTCTCAACTGGGGGGAGGGAGAATGACACCTTGTTGGATCTCTTGGGGGCTTCACCCCAGGAATGTTCCCCTTTCTGGTAGATGGGTGGGCCTTTGAGTTTCGGTCCTCATTATCAAATCTGCTTTGCTCCCCGGAGGGTGATTTAAAAAAAAAAGTTTTCATACCACCTTCCAAGGAGAGTGAGACCAACCCATGATCTAATGCAGGCATATCAATATACGAGACCCCCACCCCCCCAACCCATGTTCTAATCCAAGCATTTCAATGTATACTCATTGCAGAGATAACTTATCAAAGGAGCATTTAAATCCTTGGTTCTCAACTGGTGGGTTGTGACCCCATGCTTAGTGGGTCGCTGCATGCCTTCCACTTTTCTAGGTGGGAGCCTCCCCCTAGCCCCCCTGTAGCGCAGCACTGTCCATTCTTACACCGAGCAGCCATTCAAAATATGCTGCCCGGGGCCGAGTGTTGACTTGAGGTGGGCTGGGTGTATGGCCGCCAAGGAGCTCCCTCCATACGTTCATTACTTACAGCTCCCTCACATGTCCTGTAGAGCTGCCTGGACTGACATCACATTCTGCCTCCCGGAACCTCTACAGGGCCCGCAAGGGAGCTGTACAGGCAATGCACATATGGATGGAGCTCCGTCACAGCAGCCCGCACTGCCATGCGTTCCATTGCGACTTGGGTCGTGACGTAATGACCGAGGACATATGTGGGTCCTGAGGTTACACAGGTTGAGAACCACTGATTTAAATGATCTGATTTTTCTTTTAGGTTCAACAAAAGGACCCCAAATCCTGGGAGTCGCAGTACAAAGATGCACAGGTGACGACGCAGTCTCAGTCACAAGTACCATCTTCCTCCCAATCCACCAGGCAAAGTGTAACGCCATCGCAGTCTGCCAGGCGCCGGCCATCTTCCTCACAGTCCACCAGGAAATCTAAATAAACTGAAGGAAGTGGTAAGCTTTATTCACACACAACCAACAGACCAAAAAGACTTTCAGGAATTTATTTATTATGAGGTTACAGCTGCAAAAGTTGAAGATTTCTCATCTGATTGTTCACCACCAGAGGGCACCCCAACACCAAAACATTCAATGGCCTTTGTCAGCAAGCCTCCGCTTCCCTGGCAGTAGTCTGGTCGTGGGTGCAGCTCTGTTATTCCAGTGTGCCTTAACATTCAGCACTTCTGGTTTTTGTAAATAGTTCATTAAAATGTTGCGATTTATAAACAAATCCATTTCCTTTTTTCTCTTCTATGCAGAACAAATATACTTACAACCGAACATGCACGGACAGCTCAAAGTCATGTTGCATTAGTAAATAGGTCATCATTATGGCTGCTTTGTATACTAGGAGCCTCTACAAAAGGAGGTGACTACATGTGTCAAAAGGACACGTAGAACAAAAACTATTGTACTCCAGATACCAGAGGTTAAAGAAAGTTTAAAAAAGGCTTGATACACGTGGGGGGAGATTGGGGTGTTTTAGACCTTTTTAGTTCAGGGGGGGGGTCAGGGCTTTTCCCCATAGGTCTCCTTTAGGGTAACGGAAGGACACAAATTAGCGTCCTCCAGTCAGCGCTGGTGGATCGGAGCGGGTCACAGGTCGGCTAGAACTATGAGGTGAGTGAAAAGCACTCGCCTCATATTTCTCCTTTAAACATAAGAGGCACGTGACATTGTTGGCTTTATGTTGAGAGGTCATTGGTTACAATTAATCAGAGGACAAAAATAGATAATTGCCATCTCCAGTGAAACGTATTGAGTTTCCCTCCACCAGGAACTGGGTTTTATTTGGGCCGGGGGCTAAGTAAAAGCAAGTACCTGGTCATCCGCAATCGGATTTTATTTGCAGCGCGACCTTTCGGAGGGAAAGCTTTTTTAAGAGCACCTGTCACCATTTTTCTTAGGCAAGAATCTAAATGGTCAATCTGAAGTTTTTAGTAGAATATTCTTTCTACACATTGAGACTCTTCCTTTTGAGTGTCGGGGATAACCTGATGGTCCTGTGTACTCCCAGGAAGACTACAGACGGCCTCAAATTGCAGAGTAATTAAAGCAGATCTTTTGGGGAAATTCTTTTTAATTTTCTTGGGCCTTACAAGTATTTTTTCTGTAGGATAAATAAATGTTCTACTCGTGTGTTCTACAGCTGGCTCTGCAGCTAGATAGGAGGAGCCAGCTGTCACTCATGATGCAGCTGGGTGGATCCAGACAATTGTCGGGATCCGCTCCGGCTGCGGCGTCTCAGTATACCGCGAGCTGTAGCTCCCTATATACTGAGTTTAGGGTGATGGGAGGACGCTAGTTGGTGTCCTCCCGTTACCCTAAGGAGAACTATGGGGGGGGGAAAGCCCCGACCCCTCATTTTAACCCTTAGGAATGGCAGCACGCCAGAGCCGGAATAAAAAAAACAAATGCAGCCACCACATCTAAGCACTGGTATGCTGCAATGTTACATTTTTTTGTTCTACCGTGTTTTCAGCTGCAGCCAGGTAAGACATCCCCCGAAAATAAGAACTAGTGTCTTATTTTCGGGGAAACACAGTAGGAGATGGATATCAGCATTAGACAATAAGGCGGCAATGGTGTGAATCCAGCCTAAGGGAAGTTTCATGCCCCTCCATATCAAGGTAGCCAAGTCATTTAGAATGGACTGCCAACACACCACGATGCGAGAGGATACAGAAGAGGGAAAAGTGCAGTTTTAATACAATGGAGGTCTGACGGCCTCTACTATATTGATGATGAAAGTGAAATGTTTTTAGGGTCGGGGGTCATTTTTATTTGAAGGTGGCTATAATGGAAGTACTGCATTTGCTGGCGTATAAGATGACCCCCCCCTCGTATAAGATGCCCCCCCCCCCCCTCCCCAATTTTCCACTTAAAACAGGTTTTGGGCTATACACGTCATATAAGACTCCCCCACTGCCGAGGCAACACCATTTCATAACATCATGGATGGATGTGCGGTAATACTGTATGTACGGAAGCTTCAGCTACGTACACTATACCGCGCTGAGCCAATCATGGCGAGCGATGTATTCTATTAATGAATACAAGGCTTGCTTGGATTGGCAGAGGTTGTGTACATCGCTCGCCGTGATTGGCTCAGCGTGGTATACTGTAGCCGAAGCTTCCGTACCTACAGTAATACCGCACATCCAGCGGGCTGACAGAATAGGGATGTTCGGTTTGGGCCATCTTGGCCCAAACAAACTAAAGGTATACATTGTATACCCCGCATATAAGACGACCCCCGATTCTAGGGGGGGGATGTTGAAGTATAAAAAGTAGTCTTATACGCCGGCAAATACGGTACATGTGTTCAGTCGCCAAACTGATCTCTTCAGGTTCAGATTGAATGTTGGAACAGATTTCTACCCAAGAGTCTAACGGTGGCCATACATTGGGTGGTTTCCGGTCAGAAAGGGGACTGGTGATGGCACAGCCAGTTTTCATTTTTGTACGGTCAGGTTGGAAACTTTCTCTGGCCAAATGAAATTCGATTGGGGAGATTTTAGATCGAATGGAAAACCTTACGCCAGCACATGCACCAGAAGGAAAGCTGCCAAGGGCAAATTAATATTTCCATCAAAAATTGGTTATCATGGCTTTCAAATCAAAATTGTACAACACGTGAGCAGCTTTTAGGTCCACCTCCGACACCAACCTATGCCATGCAATTACCCAATGCAAGAACCTCAGCAGACACTCTGACAATTAGGAATGGGAACAGGCAAAGTCAATGATTTACCAAAATGTTCTAGCTGGACCTCCACATCATCACTTCTAGTCCTGCACCACATGCGGGGTGGTAAGCACGCAACAGCAGGCTGGAGCACCTTAGAGAAGAGACAGTGGGTGGTTTGGGTGGGGGGCGGCCACGTCACCGGTTGCACAGTGATGAATAAAGGTATTACAGCTTAGAAATACTGCAGATGTGATAGAGATGGTACATGCAGGCAGGCAGTGATGAGTGTCAGAAGAGGATGGGATGTAGGGTCACCAAGGAGACTGATGGATCCAATGAGTGAGAGATGGGAAGGAGGGCCAGCCATGGTGTGCGGTGATAGAGACGGGAAGGAGGGCCAGCCTTGGTGTGCGGTGATAGAGACGGGAAGGAGGGCCAGCCTTGTTGTGCGGTGATGGAGACGGGAAGGAGGGCCAGCCATGGTGTGCGGTGATAGAGACGGGAAGGAGGGCCAGCCATGGTGTGCGGTGATGGAGACGGGAAGGAGGGCCAGCCATGGTGTGCGGTGATGGAGACGGGAAGGAGGGCCAGCCATGGTGTGCGGTGATGGAGACGGGAAGGAGGGCCAGCCATGGTGTGCGGTGATGGAGACGGGAAGGAGGGCCAGACATGGTGTGCGGTGATAGAGGAAAGACTTTTCACCACGGGTGAATTATTAATGGCGGTTTGAGAAGATGGAGACCAAGATCTGAATATTCTGAGTTCGGTAACTATGGGAACGGTGTGACCACTCCCACATAGGGAACCAAATAAATCCAAGTCTTCTATATCAGATCCCCACTGTGCAGAATTTATTGGGTTCCCTGTGTGTAATTTTGTGCATTGGAGGGGAATCTTGGCCTGCGTTACATGAAGGGGTGTTTTGGGGTTAATCAATGAGGGGAGGGGGGCTTTTGTATTCAATACTCATGCACATTTAGGAGCTGGGAGACCACACGTGATAAAGAGGACGGCAACTGTTACACCTCATTAGACGTTTACTAGCTTTAGACATTCTCAAGGTCGATGGGGGGGGGGGGGGGCAAACTTAATACATTTCATAGGGTTACATGTAACATTTATCAGGATGAGTATTCCCATTCAAGCCTCACTGGCTGGTTCTCTTTCAAAGGCAGGGGTGGGCAACTCCAGCTGTTGGGATTTGTAGTTAAAGCACAGCCAGAGGGACGGAGTTGCCCATCCCCCGCTTTAAGGCAATACAGAAGTGTGCGCGGCCACCTCAGGAAAATCAGCCGAGTTACAATTTAGGGAGGTCTAGTCGCCCGCCGCTAGGAGGGAGGTCTAGTCGCCCGCCGCTAGGAGGGAGGTCTAGTCGCCCGCCGCTAGGAGGTAATTTTCTGTACTTGTGGCACCTCAGGGGGAGGGGGGGGGAGATGGGAAGGAAATTACAGGCTCATTGCAGCAAGGCACATCCAGTATGACAGCCACTGTACAACGCTTCATCAATGTTGGTGACAGACCCCCTCTCTAGCCGTAGTGCAAATTTGACACAAAAAAAAACATCTCCGATTATCCAAAGTAACAGAACGAGGCTAGAAAGGGGGAAAAATTAAAAAATCTGCTACGTAAAGACTGTGCAAGCCAATACATTGACATTATTTAAAAAGGTAAAATCCCCCCCCTGTCACGGTTGGACCGGTCACTCTGTTCAAAAGCTAAAAATCAGAGCTCAAAAAATAGAACATTGTTCCGACATTCTAACACAAGTTCCCGTCGTCTTCTTTACGGCTCGTTGGCTCTTTTTTTTTCTCTTCTCGCTCCAAAAGTTTAAAAGAAAATAAATTCAGCATCTTTGATCGTTCTCATTTAAAAATGTTCCGGGACGGTGTCCAGCGCTTCCTCGGGATCACGAGACACTTCCACATTCTAAACAGGAAACAAACAACAAAAAAAAGGCAAAAAAATAAAAAAGTGAACGTATTATTATCGATGCACCTATACTAGTACCGGTGCCGAGTATTTGGGTGAGTACTCGTACTCGGCCAAATGCTCCGATGCCTCGCCCGATACTTCCTGTATTAGGAAGCCGGGCAGCGCGTCATTACAGGCTCCCCGATTGGCTGGCTCCGTGCTCTCTCGCCACTTGTGACGAGAGCATGGAGCCGACTTCCCAGCCAATCAGGAATACCGGGCAGCCAGTCATTACACCGCACCAGACTTCCATGATTGGCCAGCAACCCGGCGTCTAAGTGCACATCTTCTGCCCCATGTGCTCCAAGATGGAGACTCTCATAGTTTAGAGTTAGGACCGCACTACACGCACTATAAGAGGTGCCTTGGCGCGGCAGTGCGGCTTACACATCCTTTGCAGAAGACGTGTATCCAAACCTCTGTCATTGTCCTTAGTGGTGAGACAAGTTGTTTTACATGCTAGTTTGTGAGTGTGCCATGACGCCTTTCTACTGTTCTAAGTGCACATGTACCCCGCAGAATTCGGCACACAACGCACTAGAGGTGCCGCAATATTTTTTTGCATACCCTGTTTCCCCCAAGATAAGACCTACCCCGAAAATAAGACCTAGTTGTGACCATTCCCAGGGCCGGCGGTGGCATAAAGGGGGAACTTGAAGAGCCGCGGGAGAGAATCAGCAGTGCCAATGAAGCCGCCGCTAGAGGAAGCGGCAGCGGAGGGAGCAGAGCCGCATAAGCCGACGCCTCCTCTATAGCCCCGCCTCCTGTCACAGGCAGAGTCATACCAAATGCACTCCGCCTGCGAGGAATCCACAGTGACAGCGCGCTTCGCTCATCCTGGCCAGCGATTGGTTACTACATTTGGAAATCTACGGCCCCCGATTACCATATGTTTGTACATGAATAAGTGCGGATTGTTGTACGTTAAAAATAAGGCCTCGTGTGTGTTTTTTTGAGCCAAATAAAATATAAGAGCGTGTGTTATTTTCGGGGAAACGCGGTAGTTTCCCAGCGACACGCTGGTCTGGTCTAGACGCCTCGTTACAGCATAACGGTCACTTTCCAAAATGTCATCCGGCGTCCCTACTTACCAATGGCTTCTCCCTGTGAGTGTTCACCGCTTCCACGTTCAGGTAGATGGATTCCACTTTACAACCTGCAAGCAGAGCGGCGAGATGAAGACATTCCTCGTTTTATTATTTCAGCATTACAATATATCCGCCGCTACAAATAAGTCCTCCAATCAGGTTCATTCGCACGGCCGGTCAGAGGAGAAAAAAAAAAACAGGAAGTGCCGATTAAGTGGCGGGATCGCAAGGCGAGAAACTTCCCAGCAGGTTTATGAAAAGCGATTTGATTAGGAAAGCTGCAAAAGGGGGGGGGGTGAGCCAGCGCCAAAAATGTACCGAAAAAGGAGGATTTCGGGTTTACACCAAGAGAAGTGAAGAAGTGGCCGACAAGTCACGTGAGCAGAGCAGAGTATAGAGTGCAATGAAAGCGGCTCCTCGCCGGCCGAGAGCTCGGGTATGAAGAGGAAATCACTCACCATAGGCCACAGGAGTCAGTTTCAATACGGTGTGCAGAGGACACTTCAGGTATGGCAGCTCTTCTGGGGAGAATGAAAACAAATTAAAATGCTGTTCATGTCCCCGAGCAACTACAGTCCCTGAGCTTCCGTATACAGCATGAGCAACTACAGTCCCCAAGCAACTACAGTCCCCGGGCTTCCGTATACAGCATGAGCAACTACAGTCCCCAAGCAACTACAGTCCCCGGGCTTCCGTATACAGCATGAGCAACTACAGTCCCTGAGCTTCCGTATACAGCATGAGCAACTACAGTCCCCAAGCAACTACATTCCCCAGGCTCCAGTATACACCACGAGCATCCACAGACCCCAAGTTACAGTCCCCGAGCTTCCATATACAGCATGAGCAACTACAGTCCCCGAGCTTCCGTATACAGCATGAGCAACTACAGTCCCGAGCAACTACAGTCCCCGAGCTTCCATATACAGCATCTACAGTCCCCGAAGCCGGAGGTCCGGCCTATTCTCCCCCCGAATGGCGATTGCGCCGCGCAGCTCTTTGGTGACGGCTTAAGGCAGAACGAGGCAATTATTAACAGTCGGAGGTTTGTGTCTATAGGGAGACGGAACGGAAATATTTTACAGCCGATCCAGAGCGATAAAAGTGCAAAAATCCGTCATGTGTAAGATCTCATCATGGAAGGATACACATGGAGACATAATGATCCTTGAATGATAAATATCTTCCCTGAGGCGTGCATGCTCATCGCCCCTTCATGATGAGGTGTGGTTGGAGCTCTGTGAAGCGCGATTCCCGTCCTCCCTCGGTGTGACGCAAGGACAATGGGTTACACTCGCCTGCAGTTTTGTCGAGGAAGTAGGCCAGCAGGCAACGCATCACCGCTTGATGGCAGATCACCAAGACGTTCTCCTGACGCTCCAGCTCCATGATCACCGGCTCCAGTCTCTGGACGAGGTCCTCGTAGGACTGCGGGAAGGACAGACGCCATGTAACAGGAAGGAGAGACAAACATCTACACAGACAGAAGGATTGATTCAACATTTGCCCAGCGGACGCAAGTGACGTCTGATGAAGTGTCCCCATCTCCGGCTGCTGCAGCGTTATTCAACCCCTTCACGACTGACGTCCAGAGTATGGCATTGTGCCGGGATCCGCCCAGCTGCGTGACTGACAGCTGGCTCTTCCTATCTAGAGGCAGAGCCAGCTGTACCCGCCCCCTCCCCCATCCGATCCGCCAGTCAGCGCTGGAGGATCAGAGCGGGG